TTCAAGAAATTACTCGTAAAAATTTATTAAGTCCTACAGCGAAGAAATTATACGAAAAAATAGTAAAAATGAAGAAAGCTTATAGACGATTAAAGAGACTTACTAACGTAGCGAAAAAAAACAACAGGTCACGAACAATACAATTATGTACAAATGATCATAAAGGGAATATAGATACAACAGCACATGTACGGCAGAATTTTATGAATATGCTCATAAGGTACCATGATAAAGCACCACAGGTACATTTCCAATCCTAATCAAAAATTTAATCTTACTATCGTATAAACATTTTTGGTCATTATAATAAAACAGAGTATTTAGTCTCTGACAACACTTGCAATTTTTATGGAATTTTTTACATTACAATCAGGAATTTGATCATTATAATTATGTAAATATGAGTTTTTTTATACTTAAACTACAGTTTCTAATATATATATTAAAAGATTTATTCAAATAAAAAATAATTTTTTGGATTAAATGATGTACAGTAGTTATTAAATCGTATTTTAAGCCGTCGTATAAACGTAGTCATTAATTACCAGGAAAATCCGGGAAATATCACGGCATTTTTTAAATAAAATTTTGATCATATCCCTATATAATTTTCTAATTTTTTTCATAAATACAAGTATTGTTCAATAACTTTTTCATAATTTCTTTATAGAATATTTATATGAAATGTGTATAGATTAGGAGGAGTCTACAATGATAGAATTTAAGGTGGAAAATTACGTTTTATGCCTTAAGCTGTAAGAAATTGACAAATCACAGTTGTATGTGAAAAAAATATTTAACTATGATTTGTCAATTTCTTACAGCTTAAGGGGATGCTAAAGCCGTCCAAATTACCGACAATTACATTTCAAAGCTCTCATTTTGAAATAGCTTTACAGATCGCAAAATCCTTTTACAGGAGTAAAGTAGAGGTACTAATGAAGGGTGGAATTGTCAAATAATTAGTAATAATTGAAAAAAAATTTTAAATGCTGTCACCTCATAACCTTATTTTCTGATATAAACAGTTGTATACGTAATATGTACGAAATTAAACTTTCCCACCCTTCAGAAGACGTGCACAAACAATAACGTACCTTTGAAATTGAGATTGAAAGCCTAGAATAAAAATGAGAGCTTTGAAACGATCGTGTATATTTTTCACAAAAATATTCACGCAGAGCAGCAATTATGTCACAGCAGTAGTTCACGGATCTTGCGAGAGATGGCGCGATGGCGCACGCAGCTGTGGGCAGTTTCTAGTGGGGTTGGCTACATTGTCTGGTTCCTACACAGCAATCGAACCAGGACAGATATATGATACAGATATCTCGTTAGACATTTTTACATTTTTTTTCAATTATTACTAATTATTTTACAATCCCACCCTTCATTAG